TAGTGCCTAATCATTTTATAGCCGTTTATTAATCAGATAATTATTATAATGTTTAGTGTAATTTGTTCCATAACTTTTATGATCTGTAAGATTTCTTTACAGTATGAAATGCTTTTAAATATTTACTTTGTTAAATTCTTCAACTTCAATTCTAGAATCTTTTTTTTTTCAAAAAATAATTATGAGAAATTAGTTCCATTTAATGTTGTTGGTAAAGCAAAAATTGATTTGCATTTTTCAGCTTCATTTGCTGCATCTAAATCTGCATAAAGGTATAAAATAGTTGAATCATACAAGAATATCTTAATATATAGCAATATATAATTTGATTTTCCAGGAGAAAAAATTAGATGAAGAAAGTGAATTTTTCGTTTAATTTATTTTCATTTACATCTAACTTTTTTGCATTCTAGATTTACGCTTATTTCTTATTGTGTTTGATATTTGTTTTCAGAAGAAACTTTACATATGATTTAGATGCAGCAAATGAAATTGTTATTGGTAATGAATATGCAAATTTTATAATTCATGCATATCTGTTTAGTATGGAAGAAGATTTTCTATTTACCAATACCACTACTAGCAGCGCCAGCAGCATCACCACTGCCACTACCATTAGCATGGAACATAAACTTCCTGCTTATGCTCCTATTAAAAAAGAATATATCGATGATAAGCATGATAGTTCAAGAACTAATAGTTGTGGTTGGTTTATTTTTTTTTTGAATTTCAGTAATTTAATTTTGGCTTTTATCTTTTTTTGTTCATTTTATTTTTTTGAATTTTATCGAACATAAGCTCTTATGTTTATTTATATTAATTCATTAATAAAATATTGCATTCATTAATAAAATATTACAAACATATTGCAAATAATCACTTCTTTTAGAAAACTGTAATGAAGAAGTTACGAAAAGACCGAAGCATAAATATCGTGGCATTAATCGAGAACGCAGAAAAGAAATGGCGAAAGTATGTTTCCCTTGAACTTTATAATGATTGAGTAGTACTTCCGCTAATTTATAAAAGACGAAAATTGTTGTGTGTGAAATCCGAACTAGATATTAATCGAGGTGTGTAAAAACAAATGTCTTGATACTGCAATTTTTGGATTTTAGACATATGCATTGCTCATATAATTGTCAACTTACACAGACTTGAGAAAGACATTTATCCATGGGGTTCTGTCAACATTATTATTTATTGTTGATGACACATGACACGTTTTGAGATGGTTGCCCGTATTGTTTTCATATGTTTACACCCGCGGATAAAATATCCAGCAGATTAATCATATCTGTGAGAAATGAATCTTGCTGAATTAACAAGTAAACTTGTTAAATTTAGTTTGGCAGTAATATTAGTTCAATTAGCTAGTATTATGTGATATATAAAAATGATAGAATCTTGCTAGTACATTAGTGGCTCTTGAGTCTATTCTTGATATGTCAGTCAGCTTTTACATGTCCTCTCCAAAAAATCCATCATAACTAATTTCTGCTTTGATGTTGCATAATTTGATCAAGGTCAAAAAAAACCTTATCGATTGACTTGTTATTAATTTAATATATGTTATTTATATAATTCAAACAAATTTTTTGATCTTTTTGGCTAATTCTTTATTTTGATAAAAAACTATTTCCCTTAAATGTGCTTTTTCATACTTTTAAACTGTTGACGCAAATAATCTTCTACTGTTTATGAGAATTGTCCGTTTAATGCACGTTATTTCTTGTTCTTGTCTTCATTTTCTCATTCCTTTCATCTAAGAAGGGAGTGAGAATTAGTCACCCTCTTCTAGATAAAGGAAGAAAATATTCTCAGATGTAGATTTTTCTGGGGATTTCAAAGCTAAATTACTGTTCCATTCGAACCTCTTTATCATTTTTGCCATTTATCTGGTCCTTAATTTATTTGTCATTCGCCGATGTTTCCAGAAAAATATGAGCTGGCTTGTGAGAGATGTTTGTGAAGTTAGATCGGAAGCTATAATTTGGGCCGTTGAACAGTTACCTTGTCTATGGAATTTAGCATGTGAAGATTATCGTAATAGGTCAAAGCGGCGACAGGGATGGTCCACTGTTAGCTGTATGCTTATTCATGATTTTGAAAATAAGAATCTGGCGGAACGTCAACGCATCGGTTAGTTTCAAGATTTTTTTGTTCAAAATATTTAGCTTTACCTATAGTTCTTGGAAGCATTTAAATTTTCCAAAATTTTGTCTGAAAGTCTCCTTTATTTTAGAAAAAGAAATACAAAGTAAGTGGAAGAATATACGCGATTGTTATGTAAGGGATATACGAAGGAAAAATGGTGAAGCAGTAAAGTCGAGAGGTAAACGAACGCGTGAATATATTCATGCCGAATCGCTAGCATTCCTGAGTAGTTCGTATATTACACAGCCAAGTTCTGCTCGTTCTTCAAAAATTGATCCCGAAAATATTTATGATTTCATTCTCGACACTGTTGCAAAGTCTTTTTCGGACCATAATGCGGAGATTAACTGTAACTGGATAAATCAGGAAACGTTAGAAGAAAAGTTGAGAATAATTCTGGAAAAGCGATCTCTAGAAGGCAATGAGGATAATGCTTTTTTTTCTACCTTACTTCCAACTATACGAAATCTGGATCCAGAGCAAAAAGTTGAATTTCGCTTGGAAGTTCTTCGAGCTTTGCGACAAATTGCCACGAAACAATATTTGCCGCCGTTAATTTTATAGTCCGAAAATTTAGATATTAGCTTTGATGTTAATTTATCAACAATTACCTCTGGCGCCGGTAGCATCTTTCCTATCTCAAATTTCCTTGCTGTGCAATATCAAGCTGCCAAAGATTTATCATGTCATTACGGGATATACAACGGGCGTATTCTACGTCATTAAGATCCTCATTAACATCTCTCGCATAGCTCAAGCTTCCACGCAACAAATGCAAAACTTCATTTTTTTGTGATGTCTGACGTTCCTGTTTTGTTTTTCTCTCGCAGTTAACGTTTAAATTTTTATTCCTTGCATTATAAATTTCAAAGTGTTTGAAGAAATCGGTATCAAATTGAGCTTATGATGAACGAAAAGCAAATAAACGCTTGTCTAGTTTTTGTACCACTATTTCCGATATTATTAAAAACAAATATTTCGAAAGTTAGAATATCGTGAGTTCGTTTGTTTGGTAGCGCGATAAAACATCTCCACGTATATTCTCGATAGTATGAATGAATAGCTAAAGTACCGATGTCTTGTAAGAATTACTTAGTCCTAGTGACCTGCCTGTTAGTCTTTCTCTTTGCATCTTTCATCTCACTATTTGCTGATTCTTGTTTAATTCAGGTTTTTAATCTATTTTTTAGTTTAATATTCAGTTAAGCCATACCTGCATGTATATTGTTATCGTTATTAGCTGGTTTTTAAATTCTTTTTTCACCTCTCTCTGTTGTAAAATCGTATTATATGGAAATCTGCCAATTTAAGCCTGCTTTTTCTGATATAAAATAGCTGAACTGAATTTCGGCTTCAATTTTTAGATATCTGATTGGCGTAAATTTTAAATGCTATCCTTTTCATTATTTGATTACATTATCATTTTGAACAAATTAAAAAGAAGAAAATTTTTAATTGATTAAACCAGGAACATATCGAATATCATTATGAAAAAGATGGAACTGAAATTAGATTAACAAATTCTTTGATAAAGTTTTACAGAAATATGTTGCATTCAGATACTTAAACTATGCCGAAATCATTATATATTTTAAATGTGAATATGCCCTATATTACATGTTTTTTTCTTTTTAAATCAGGCAAGATCTCTCTTCTATAATTTGTATGATTGGTTCAATTTATTTAAAAAATCGCTCACAGATATCTCGGTGTTTGTATTTTCCGGTATTCTCAGCTTTTTTGGATGTGTTTTTGTTTTGCATTCTTCTTCCTTACATCTGTATTGAGTTGATTGTAGGGAAATAAATGCTTATGTAATGTAGACTTAATTCTTTGAATTTTGGCATCTATTCCAGAAAATGAGGTATTTTTCAATAGATTAGGTAAGAGTTTGGAAAACTTGGAACAGAATTTATCAAGTAGGTCTGAAATGTGTTGAAAAAGCTTCGATGGTTTTAAAGCATGGTTAATCAAATGAAGTGTAAACAATTTTTATTTATTTTCTTGCTCGTTTCGTATGAGATAACTGTTTATATACATTTTTAGAGTGGACATCAACAAAATTTTCATCAATTTTAGGCACGTGCAAATGTTCGTCAACAGCTTCCAAGGTTATGTTCATCATCTATTTTGGGCATACCATGCAAATATGCTAAGAAATGCACATCGCTGCATTCTGTTGAAGAATACTTAGTGGTAAAACCACCGGACATAGGTCCAGTTTGTTATAATTTCGATCAGCGTGGTATATGTCCATTTTCTTTTGCATGCAGGTTTATTTTATTATTTATTATCATTGTATATTAAAATTGTTCGATACGTTATTGTTTGCTTTCATTTGACAGTCTTTCTAACCATTTAACGCTCCTGACAATCCTTTAATGGTAAAACGAGTACATATTTGCATTTTTGTGCACAAATGATTAGTATTGAAATCAAAAAAATTCATATGTTAAAAATGTAAATGCATATTAAAACTGGAGATGTCCCTTGATCCTTTAACTATTTCAGTTTCGATCTCCTTCAACTATTTGCTAACCTGTAAAATTTAGGTTCGCAAATGCGCACACATCTGGTACGATGCAAATCACCAAATCTCCAAGCGTTTCATACCAACAGACTTTAAATGCCAGTTTTCTTCCACTTCGAATTGCATTGAGAAAAAGGAAGTATAATTTTGAAAAAAGTGATCAGGTAAAGTGAGATTTCGACTGTCAAATTTTCATTTTTTTTCACAGTTTCTGATAACTGATTAAAGCAGTAGGATCTGTCGCATTTGCAGACTTTCTGCATGACAAATTTAGAGTTCGGTAGAGGAGTTCATTTTCATTCAAGAAAGATTTTGATGTAAAACTTGTATATATGTATGTGCAATTTTAGTACTCTTTGTAGGCAGTTGCTGATTTATTGCAAGCAACAGGTTGCATGGAACGTGAAAAATTGAAAATCGATATGCATGAATTATCAGGAAAGTTATATTTGGCACCACTAACAACATTAGGCAATTTACCGTTTCGTCGACTTTGTGTGGATTTTGGTGCTGAAATAACGTGTAGTGAAATGGGTATGTTGAAAGTTTAAAATTTTGAAATCTAATCAAATAGGAAATTTAGCAAGTTAGAGAAATAACAGTGAAAATACTGAAATGGTTTTTAGGAGTTTGTACGAGCTATCTGAATGGTGCATCTTTGGAATGGTCATTACTTAAACGCCATCCAAGTGAAAAATATTTTGGTATTCAATTAGCAGGTGGTTATCCTGACTCGATGTCTCGTGCTGCACAGATTATTGCTGAAAATGAGCAAGTAGGCACGCACTTTTTCATTTTTTAGATTTTTAATAATTTTTATTTGTTTGTCTGCTTGTTTACAAACTTTAAACCTTTTACAAACTTTAACCTTTTTGTAAACGTTAAATTTTTGTTTCTTAGATATACTTTAAAAAATTTCGCAGATAGACTTTATTGATATCAACTGTGGTTGTCCGATCGATTTAATTAATGAAAAGGGTGGAGGATGTGCTTTGGCTTCAAGATCCAATAAACTCGTTGAAGTCATGAGAACAGTATCAAGAGTAATCGGAAATATTCCATTAACTCTGAAATTACGGACGGGAACTAAGGTAATTATTGATGTTTTTATGATAGTAGTATTAAATTTTGTTCTTGTTGATACAAAGTCCAATGTTGTTTATTTGAACAGAAAGAACACTTCTGAGTCTGTTTATGTTTCGCTGATTCTTTTTTTCTAATGCTAACTTTTGCATTTAAATTTGTCCATGAAGAAATATATATTGATCTTTTCATCTAGAATGTCTACTAATTTTTTGCTTTGTGAAAAAAAGAGAAGCCATCTTGCTCAGCGCTGTTTTTCATTTTCATATAGAATCACCTAGTTCTTTTCTATCGTTATTTTATATAAAGTTTACTTTATCCAATATTGTTTCCTTTTTGATTTTACTAGTGACTTGAATGTTAGTTTTATCTAGGATTTTGTATTACAAAAATCAAATTTTTGATTGCTGATGAGGATTTTTCTGTGTATTTAGATTCAAAGTTGGGTTACCACGAGATGAACTAAATAATTCAAAATTATTAGCAGTTTTATCACTTTTTAATCTCCTTATTTTACTTTTATGAAAGATTAAAGGCTTTGCAAGATTGGGAATTATTTGTTTTGTTATTATATTTTTTTAGGAAAGCGTTTACACCGCTCATCAAACAATCGCAAAGGTAGTTGAATGTTGCCCACCACAGCTAATCACCCTGCATCCGCGCTCCAAGTATCTATTTCAAATAAATTTTTCACTTCTTTTAGAAGGAACTTTTAGTTTAACAAATCTTATTTAAATATAAAGTTTTTGCATAATTGTGTAATTTTCGATGGCTTTTTATTTTTCTGATCTTTTTTTTCGTATAGAAAATGTTTTACTATGATTGCTACTGGTTCAGGACACAAAGGTATACAAAATTGGCGGATTGGTCTTATACACGACAATGTAGTAAGGCCTGTCAAAATGTTCCATTTTGGGCTTGTGGTGATGTGCTTTCTTATATTGATTATTACGAGGTTAGCTTCTTTAATTGCAATTTAAAATTACTATCCGATAATTTTATGATTTTATTATTGATAATAGTAAAAGATGAGTAAAAAATTTATGTCTTAAAACTGGTAAACTAATTGCTGGATCTATAACTATGAATCATTTCGAAAGTATGTTTTCTTTTTCTTACAAATTATTTCATGATTATTATCTCGAAGTTTTTTGTAAAACTATGTAGATAATTATCACGTTATTTGCCTCATTTGCATGAGAAAAATTTTGAAAAAACTCTCCAACGCTGTCTTTTGAATTAACTTTAATTGAATGAAGTTTTTTTAGATTTACTGTTAATTTCATTCTAAGTCATCTCTTCTCTATGTGGGTAGAAAAGTTTTGGGACTAAGGAAAGAACAAGAAAAAAAATTTGTGAACAAAAAGTGAAAAATTTTTTTTTTTTTGGAACTTTGGAATCGTATGCAAGTGTAATTTGAGCAAATCTTTTGTATTTAGAATGTTTTTGTTTTTTTGAAGGTTATTGTAATTTATTCAATTTAGAAATTAGAAACATATCCGGTTAATGGCGTTATGATAGGTCGTGGTGCACTCATGAAACCGTGGATCTTCACAGAAATTAAAGAATATAGGCATTGGGATATTTCTGCTACTCAACGGCTCAATTATATACAGAAGTAGGTTTTGGATGATTACAAAATAACATTATACAAACAAGAATCATTCCTCATCATTACAATTGGCAACATTTTAAGAATCGTAATCGATGCTTTTTTTTATTGTAATTTTAGGTTTCCATAGTTTTTTTTTTCAGATTTATATCTTTACTTGGAATTAATCGTTATATATTTTATGCTTAATTGTTCGCTTTCAATTTTATTTGTATTAATATGATTTTCATCTTTAGATTTGTTAATTATGGTTTGGAGCATTGGGGCAGCGATGATGAAGGAGTGGAAAAAACCCGTCGTTTCCTCCTGGAATGGCTTTCTTTTGCACATCGTTACATTCCTGTTGGTTTGTTAGAGGTTTGTTACATTCTATCATTTTCTTGCTTCAATGCTTAATTGTTCAATTATTCAATAACTGAATGGTTACTAATACATATTAGATAGAAGTGAATTTTAATGTTAAAATAAACGCTTTCATTTCCACCTTATATCTTGATTGATTTGTGTAGGTAACACATAATAAGGAAACGATTTTTTAACATAGACTTATTCGAAAGCTATACTTTTATTGCTTAAAATTATGGTATAGGTTGTGCCGCAGCGCATGAATGAGAGACCACCATTTTATCATGGCCGTTCCGATTTGGAAACTTTGTTGGCTAGCGATCGGTCCAGAGACTGGATTAAAATTTCGGAGATGTTCTTAGGAAAGGTGCCGGAAAATTTCTTGTTCATACCGAAACATAATTCTAGTGCCTATTAAAAGTTGATATTTCTTAAAGGATGTCAACTACAAGACAGTGACGAGTGGTGTATTCCTAATTCAGTCTTGAGGAAAAATTCGAATACTTTGCAACTAGCAAATGAGATTTCTCTCTCTAATTCATGTTTAAATTAAAAAATGTGATTATATTAAATATGATCGAAGGATGAAATAAATTCATTCTTTGAGCTCAAATTTGGCTCATATTTTTGGAAGCCTCATCATTACTGTTTTTATTTTGTAATTTTTGCTGGAATAAAATTCGTTACCTTCTGCTCTTCTCAACACTTGAAAGAACGCAAGTTTGCTACAGATGCGATCAGGTAAGAAGCTTGTAATAAGAAGTTGAAGATATCTTGAAAGAT